GGAGCAAATGCTGCCATGCACAAGCCAGTTAGTCTTTGCCACAGCAGCAGCTTCTCAGTCTGGGAGACCAGCAAATAATGAGAGAGAAGCAGAAAGTAGAAGAAAAACAGAATTAAAGCAGGGATAATTAGACAGCACACACACACACAGTGTTCTTTTTGTTTGTTTGTTTGTTTTTTAACAGTTTTCTTTGTTACTTTGTTTCTTTTGTTTTTTATTTCCCCACTGTATGGGCAAAGGACAAAAGACAAACCAAGACAACTTCATTGGTGCAACTAGGAAGACAGGTTTCCAATCTTTATTCAGCATCAGAAACAGAAGACAATGAAACAAGAAAGTTACAAGCTCTATACTTCCCAGAAGTCACAGCTTGGCCATAAACCCCTGTAAATGCAAAAAAGTAGTAAGCAACTTTCAGTGTAGGTGTGTACAGACAACAGTTACTAAGCCAGCAAATGTTCCAGGAACATAGAGAAAAAATACTGTAACACATTTATCCCCTTTAAGAAAAATATTAGTAAAATGATCTCACAGTACAAAACTAAAGGAATCAAAGCAGGGGAAGGCAAGTGGAAATCTATAAGCAGGTCCACAGGGGTTTGAAAAAAAGCATGCAGAGGAAAGATGCCTGCATGTTTAGTTGTGAGTCAGGGAGAAAACAGGGCATTAAAGAGCATTTTGCAGTTCTGGTCCATGTCTCCCCTTCTTGATTTGTTTCTCCCTTCAGCCTCCTGGCACTGGGAACTCAAATGTTCCCAGGAGAGAGATAAGCAGCTGCTGCATTCCTCAAGGAGCCAAGAGCTACTACAGTGCTACAGGTGAAAGGGCTATGTGACTTTCTTGGGACAGACTTCCCATTTATAACAGCCTGCCCAAGACTGTAGGAAAAATCCTTGCTTCCAATTTAAGAAAACAGCAAAAATACCTGCTGGACAAGGAAGGCAAAATATGATCGATTATTATAATTGTATCATTAAAGGAACTAAAGAAGCGGTCCCTCAGGGGCAAAACACAGCCAAAGCTTTTGATGAAAAGCAAAATAAAGATGAGTCACCATTGGAATGGTTGGAAAGACTAAAGAGAAATATACAACAATATTCTGGAATACAGCTAGACAGTCAAGCAGGACAAGAACTATTAAAAGTTTGGTTTGTAACTCATTCTTGGCCAGATATTAGGAAGAAATTAGAAAAGATAAAGGATTGGAATGAAAAAGGGTTGAATGAGTTGTTGAAAAAAGCTCAAAAGGTGTATGTCCGAAGGAATGAGGAAAGACAAAGAAATAAGATCAAAATAATGGTGTCTACAGTTAAAGAAATGAATAAACAAATACCAGAACAAGAAGAAGGGGAAGTACCCCAAAAAGAATATAGAAATGGACCCAGTGGTCACAGGAGACAAAGAGTTCAATATCCCAAGAAACCTACTAAACAGTCAGGGAGAAAAGAAACAGGAACAGCTCCCTCAAATACACAGGGTAAAAAGCAAGTTTGTTATTACTGTGGGAAAGAAGGCCATTTCAAAAGAGAATGCTTCAAGAGACAAAAGGACATCCAAGTCTTCCAACTACAGGAAGACTCAGGATAGGGAAGTCAAGGGTTCTTTCTCCTGGGGTCAGAAGAAGGAAAAGAACCCTTGATAAATCTAAACTTAGGACCCCAGGAGAAAGACACTATATTTTTAGTGGACTCAGGAGCTCAGAGGACCTGCATAATCCAACTCCCTCCAGGAATAAAGATCTCTAACCACACAGTTGCAGTGATAGGGGCAAAAGGAGAAAAATTCGAAGTATCTGTAGTCCCAGCAGTATCCATAAAAGGAAATGGGAGGACAATAGAAGCAGACCTATTGATTACATCTGAGGCTGGGGTGAATCTGTAAGGCAGAGATCTAATGGGCATCCTGGGAGTGGGAATAGTACCCCAAGGGGAAGAGGTGGAAGTTAAACCTTTTGCCTTAAGTGAAGAACTAGGCATAAATCCTCAAGTATGGGCTGAAGATGGGAACAGGGGGAGACTGGAAATAGAACCCTTCAAAGTAGAATTATACACAAATACACCCATCCAAATTCGGCGATACCCCATTCCCCTAGAAGGTAAAAAGGGTCTTTTACCAATAATCAAAAAGTTAATTCGTGATGGCCTATTAGAACCCTGTATGTCACCATACAATACCCCCATCTTATGGGTAAAGAAAACTGATGGGACTTATCGATTGGTCCAAGATCTGCAGGAAATCAACAAAATAATGCGAGTACGTCATCCTGTTGTCCCAAACCCCTATACCATAATGAGCAGAATATCCCCTGAGTGCGAATGGTTTTCAGTAGTTGACTTAAAAGATGCATTTTGGACTCGTCCACTAGATGAAAATTCTTGAGATATCTTTCCTTTTGAGTGGGAAAACCCAGAAACAGGAAGGAAACAGCAACTAAGATGGACAGTCCTCCCACAGGGATTTTCAGAAGCACCCAACCTATTTGGACAAGCCTTAGAAGCTGTAATGAACAGGTTTGATCCAAAAGAAGGAATTATCATCATACAACATGTAGATGATTTATTAGTAGCCAGGAAAACACAAATAGAAGTGGAAAAAGAAACAATGAAGCTGTTAAACTTTTTGGGAGAACAAGGATTGAGATTATCAAAAAATAAACTTCAGTTTGTGAAGAAAAAAGTGACATATCGTAAAGAATGGAGGACGTAAACTAAGTCCAGAAAGATTAAAAGGAATCTTAGACCTCCCTCTCCCAAAAACATAGAAAGAAATAAGGCAATTTTTGGGGTTGGTGGGGTTTTGTAGGCTGTGGATTTTGGATTATAGCAATGAAACAAAGTTCCTGTATGAAAAATTAACAAACAACACAGCCCCTGAAAAGGTCTACCAAGCAGAATACTCCCCAGAAGAAGCAGAGAAATTTAAGGAATTGAAAGAAGTTAAAAAAATGGTAACCCCCGAGGGGGTGGTGTCCCTTGGGGTTGATCCAATCAGCGCCCCTGCAAAATTTAAACATATCACACCAGACCGGAAAAGAAGGATGATGAGGTAGTTGGAGGAGAAGTGGCCATGTTCTGAGACCACGAGGGGAGAAGGGGCAGGAGCCCCGCTGGGGGCCACGGCCCCCCAGCCCCCCAGATGGGGTTGCAGAAACTCGGAAACAGTGTTAAACTGGACCGAGGTCTGTGACTGAAAAGCTGCAAGTCTTTCTCCACTGTGAGTGGGCAGCACGAGAAAATTGCTAAAGGGTTAAGAGTAAATCACTGTTCCGTTTGTGGGGGACCTTTAATGGTAGAAAAATGGCCCTGGAGAGGTTTTAGTCTAGATGCTCGAAAGATACTCAAGGGAAATTATACATTCTCTCATAATAAAGCAAATAGGCCAGAAGGGTGGATATTAAGCTCCACAGTGATAGGAAGGGATTGTATACGGAGAACAGGAACTCATTTTGTACATCCAGTTGGGGAAACCCCGTGCAAACAAACTCTGCAGACTAACTTCACTCACAGTGAGTATTTTCCACAAGCCCAAACTGGTCAAGAAAAGGAAGCTCCAACTGTGAGTGGGATGTAAACCAGAAACTCTACCAATGCAACAAAACCAAAATAAACCCTTTTTCCAGAATAAAAGAAATATTGAAATTTTGGAATAACGTTGATAGCATATCCAAAAACTTTTGGAAGGCACCCAATAAGCTCTTTTGGATTTGTGGAAAAAGAGCATACACAATCTTACCAGAAAATTGGAAAGGTTGCTGTGTCATAGGAATAGTTTTGCCCTTAGAAAGCAGGGACGAATTAGGAGTCCTGTTATATGACTCCTTTAACTGAAAAAAAAGAGAAATTAAAGAGAAAATACCCTATATTGGGATGAAGGGATACTCAATAAGAGGAACCCAAAAATGGGGAGAGGAGGAGTGGCCTCCTGAGAGGATTATTGATTATTATGGGCCAGCTACATGGGCACAGGATGGGACATTGGGTTATCGTACACCTATTTATATGCTCAATCGAATCATATGGCTACAAGCCATATTGAAACAGTCATAAATCAGACTGCAAAGGGGTTAGAATTAATAGCCGAACAACAGTGTCAAAGCAGAGCAGCCATATACTAAAACAGATTAGCCCTAGACTATCTTTTAGCAGAAGAAGGAGGAGTCTGTGGAAAATTTAACATCTCAGACTGCTGTTTACAAATTGACGATAATTATGAAGCCATAATGGAAATAGGCTCCAACATCTGGAAAATAGCCCATGTACCAGTCCAAAAATGGAATTCCATAATAGATGAGGGTGGTGGACTAACTTATTTGGAGGGGCACGGTGGAAGCAAGTAGGTTTTTTCTTATTATGTGCTATCTCTGAATTATTTTTTCTACCCTGTCTAATCTCATGTTTTATGAGATTAATTTCTAGTATTGTCCAAGGAATGCAATTAACTACCATGCCAGTGGATCCGAAGACCACTACAACCAGAGGCCCGGGAATCCAAAAAATCATGATCTTGCAGCTGGCCCCTAAGCAAATTAAAGACATGGAGAAGGCATGGAAAGCATTACTTGAGTGGGAACTTACCAAACAAATGGAAAGAATGGATGAAGCACAAGATATATTAACCGAGTGGGAACAGACTCGAAAGGCCCAGAGACAGTCGACGTAAAAGACTTATAATAAAACCATGAATAAAGAGAGAAAGGGGAGATTATGAGAAATAAATAATCTGGTTTTATTATAAGCAAAATGAATTTAATGGAAAACAGAAGGGAGTGGGATTTTCTTTTCTTCCATTTAATTCCAAGTTTTTTTTAGGCATACAGTGAAAGCTGTAAGGTGGAAGGTCCTGCCTGGGCCTGATGCTGGGAAATAGGGAAAAGTATAAAAACAAAAATGTGCTCTTGGCCACGTGGCCGGCCTCTGTGTGCAGAGAGACCCCCCCCGTACGATGTACGGGGGGGTACGTCACAAATCAATCAAGAGGGAAGGTAACACCTCCTGAGTCTGAAAAATTACCTTTTAAGATAAAATACCTGACATCTACTGAATATGTAACAGCTTATGTAACCAAGAGAATACAAAAAGGTGCGTTTTTTAAATGGCAGTGTGCTTTCCAGGCCCATGTGACTTAGGATTGCACCCAGCGCTGCAATAAAGAACTTCTTGCTGTAATCTTCCTTGTCCAGCAGGTATTTTTGCCATTTTCTTAAACTGGAAGCAAGGATTTTTCCTGCAAGACCACCACACTTCCAGAATACTTTGGTTTTCTTCTCTTGTCGAACAGAGCTGTACCTAACACTGGAGGAGGGGATATGTTCAGGAGCCACAGCGACCTACTGCAGATGTCTGGAAAGAAAGGAGCAGCTCATCTGAGAAAAGAAAATACATGCCAGGATGTAGGGAAAAAAGGGACAGATGTGCAGGGTGGCTGGATGCCAGATCTGCTCTCTGATTATTCTCCAATCCCCTGAAGCTGAGCCTACTGAAGCATCTGGGAATTAATTCTGCAGATTGACTGTAATTGGCTTAGTTACTGGAAACTGTTGTTATGGAACATGAGGGTGTTGTTGTGCATACACTTAATCAAAGAAACTTACAGAAGGTGGAAGTAAAGTTTTGCTTCTTTAACCACATTATCAGAGTTTCCAAGCAGTCTTCATCATGACGATAAAGTAGATATCTGAATCAATTGAAGCGCTGACTCCTGCATAGTAGTTCATGAATTCTTCTGTTGTGATCTGAGACAGAGAGATTTAAAATAGGAAGACAAATATTTTCTTTTAATGCTATAAGTCAAAACCACACATTGAGGTGTTTCTTTAGGAAACAGAACATCTGCTATTTCATGTTGTTGCTAACAAAAAGGAATCAAACAGGAGGCAAAAAAGGCACAGAAAAATTGCTCAAGTTCACTTCTTTGCTAGACACAAGAGCTCTTGTCCTACAGAACACTTGGATGGACACGAAACATGTGAAGTTCACTAACATTACCAGGAACTAAAGTTAAAATCACTGCTGCCTAAGAAGACAGATGTTTTAAACTACTTTTGTCCAGGGACGATGTGATCTGGTTCTTTGCGTTACTATTAATAAAGGTGGATGGGGTTTCTGATACAATCCAGAGACAGCTCAGAACTTTATACCTACCCATAGAGAGAAAATATCATTGCTCTAAACAAGTCTCACTTAATGAAGTAATTACTTTTTCAAATACCTAAGGGTTTTGAATATCTTTCACAGGTATTGTGAGGTGGAATCATTTTAAAATGACCATTACAAAAAATAAGGATAAAATTAGCAGATGAACAGTTCATGTCTCTCGTGATGTCTTAACTCTTGAACCATGTAGATCATTCTTTGAATCAACAAGACAGAGAAAAATAAAAACAATTGAAAAGGCATTAAGTTTTTAAAGAGGGTACAAAGGAGGGCCATGAGGATGGTGAATGGCCTTGAGGGGAAGCCTTGAGAGGAGCAGCTGAGGTCACTCAGCTTGTTCTCAGCCTGGAGACAAGGAAACCGAGGAGAAATCTCATGGCAGTCTACAACATCTGCACGAGGGTAAGCAGAGGGGCAGGTCCTGATCTCTTCACTCTATGGTGACCAGCGACAGGACTTGAGGAAATGGCCTGAAGCTGAGTCAGGGAGGTTTAGGCTGGATATCAGGAAAAAGTTCTTTACCCAGAGGGTGGTTGGGCACTGGAACAGGCTCACCAGGGAAGTGGTCACAGCACAAGCCTGACAGAGTTCAAGAAGTGTTTGGACAACACTCTCAGGAACATGGTGGGATTCTTGAGCTGTCGTGCACAGGGCCAGGAGTTAGACTCAATGATCCTGATGGATCCCTTCCAACTCAGCATATTCTATGATTCTGTGATATTTACTCTGATTGCATTGTGTGTTTGAGAGCTAAGTAAAACATGACAATAGGGAGAAGTGATCACTATAGACTGTCCTACCATCATGAACTCATTACAAGCCTTGCTGACCCTGTCTATTTCAGAGGGACCCAATGAGATCACAGTGAAGAGGACCTTTTTAGCAATTGCTTTACCTTGAGGCATTTCTATTAGAAACATTTTAGGTATTCGGTATCATTAGTGTCTTCTGATTCAGGCACAGGAAAGCTGCAGTTAGTTCTCAGAAGAAACAGCAATCAGGTGAGCTAACATCAGTATTGCTGAACAAGAGGTGGGTGCTCAGTGTAACAAGGCACTGAACTCATCAAGGATCACTCTGGAGATTCATTTAATGTGTTCCTGGATGACCTCAGCACAAAAAGCAGGAACTTTTCGTTTGAGATTTGCTAGATATCACCACTGTTGAAGAGAAGGAAGGGGACAGCTGGCCCAAAATTGGTAGCTCTGAGGATGACACAACAGCATAAGGGATGAAATTCAGCTCTACTAAGTGCAAAGTCATGCCAAAGGAAAATAAAATCCATCACCTTTCTACAACTGAGAGCCTGGACGTTGGAAGCAGAGCAAGTGAAAGATTTGGGTATAGTAGCCAGCCACTAGACAGGTCATCAGTGTAATGCAGGCATGAACACACAGGTGCAGACTCAAGAGTGGAAAGTGTTAAAGATGTTCCACAAAGCACTGATAAAACCTTACCCAGTTTGGTATTATTCACTGTTCAGACTGAGAATAATACCATGTGAACCATGGAGATCCAGCATTAAGCTCAGTCAAAAGTAGTTTACAGGCACAGAACAACGGGAAACAGAGCAGGCTTGTCTCAGAGATGGTTGCACAGCAGATGCACAAGAAGTCCATCTCAAAAGTGCCCAGGCTTTGCACCTGCACCAGAGAGCTTAGGCAGAGGGCAGGAAGAACTTGCAGTTCTGCCCCAGCTCCTCAGGGCTCCTCAGGGCACACAGCTGGTGGCAGCACCCCCAACTCCATCCTCCCTCCAACTCTCTGTAGATAAATCTATCTCTGTTATGGGCAGACTTCTGAGTCAAATGTCTCAGTAATTACACTGGAGAAGAACTAACTGTAACGTATTTAACATATTAAGGAACCTGCTTTTGAACTGAGTTCTAGTATTTATTCTTCTAAGAAGTGAAAAATCCTCCAATTCATGTGGATGTTGAAAATCAGCATGCTCTAGCATGAAGGCTACAAGCCTGGTAATGTAATCTCTCGTACCTCCTGCAGAGCCCCTTTGCCTCAGAATGTGCAAGCAAGCTGTACCAGCAATGCTATGCACACACTATGCATCTATTTTATTTTTCCATATAAATGTGATGCAAATGCATGTGTGGTACTGCAATCACTCCTACATTTAATAATATAAGTCAAGTGCTGAGTCAGATGGTGATTTCATGGCTTGACATTAGGTGTTTCACTTACCTTCCCATCTTTGTCATAGGGTGAATCAAAATTATCCAGAAAGGCTCTAAAAACTTGTTCTTCTGTCCAGTCTCCATTTAAATATTTGGGATGGTGTTTTGGATTGTATACCTCCCGTAAGTCTTCGACTGTTATGACACCATCTCTGGTCTTATCTAATTTCTGAAATGCTTGCATTATTATTTCTTTCCTTGCATTCGACATGGGAGGCTGTAAGGAAATATTAACAGAATCATTTTATTTCTGCCAACTACTTGCTGAGTTCCAAATTCAAGTACCTGCTGTTGTTAGCAGTAAAACTATTTCAAGGTCCATGGGACAACAGACGGCTGACAGTCTACACTGTCCATGAGCTAGAAAGGACAATGTATCACCATAAAAAAGCAATGTGATTGAGACTATTCGGTGTCAACCAGTACAATAGTAAATGGACAATAAGAGAGAAAATACTCTGTGTAACACTTTCCTGTTCCACCCATTTTATATATTTCTAACAGGAAATTACTAATTACTCTAAACACTAATATTTTCTATCTTAATTGTTTAGACTTCATCATAGCAAAGAGACTCCAACCAAAATCAGCCACGGCATGGTGGACTAAAGAGAGTCTCCCCTGGATTAGTTCATGTTATAAAGAGATGCATCATAAAATGACGCATAAAGAAGTGAGATTAATGGGCTGAATGACATAGGTACCCAGACTGCAACATAGGAATTTAGGTAACTTAATCAAGGCTGCAATTCATTGAAAAAAATCACAACCACTTATTTGCAAATATTCTATTCTATCTTGTTCTGTTCTGTTCTGCCATATTTTTCTCCACTTAATGCAGTATTAAAAAAAATTTCCAGACTTACTCTCAGTGTAACAAGAAATTCATCGAAGTCAATTGTTCCACTGCCATTTTTATCAAATATATGGAAAACCTTTTGTGCTTCTTCCTTGTCAAGTGTGATCGCGTACACATTTAATCCCCTCATAAATTCTTTGAAATCAAGGGTTCTGCTGTTCTTGACATCCATCATTCGGAATACTCTGCAGGAAACATGACATTTGAGGAAAATGCACAGGAAAACATGGAGAATGCTGTAGTGGTTTAGCACAGTGCTGGAGCACAGGGTCACTTTACTGAGGTAACATTGTTCAGTCTTCTGATGGGGGGTGGGGGGGAAAGGAATAAAACCCCCAACCAACAAAACCCCCCACAGTTACAGGCAGCAGAGATGACTGGTTTCTATTGGGTGCCTGATTATGACACATCTGAAGGTAGATGAGGGGAAGGCTGCCATGGTCTTCCTGTTCATTATAGCCCTGTGCCCTCGGCAAGTTGGGCATTTAGATGATCCAGCTGGTCACCACCTGGATCCCTTTGTGGTTTATAGGGCCTGGGAGGGGTTTCAAGGTGTGAGGCACCTCCCCTTTCCTACGACTGGGGTGCAAAAGGAGTCTAGGTGCCTCCCACACTGTACACAGACCATTACACAGGCCATTACACGCAAGGGAATTACATCTGAAAGAAAAGAAGCATAAAATCCCCTGTACTCAGATACTTAAATTAATTTTCAAAACACCAAAGAGAGATATGTGTCTTAAGCTTCCCTTCTCTCCCTGGCAGGAGTTGTTCTGGGTCTCACAGGAGCACCTTCCCATGACAGATTCACACTGCTCAACCCTTCAACGGGCAAGCAGACCAGTCCTGTGTCCCAGAACACATGAGCCCCAAGGCCAGGCTGTAAGTTGTGGCGTTTGCATTGGAACCAGGAAACTCAAATTTTGGTCCCTGTTAAGCCTGTGAGCCTCTTGCAGCTAAAACTATTAAGCTGAATAATCGATTTGACTTCTTAGACTCACTTTCCAAGTCCCTTTAATCCAGCTGACCCCCTCGCTAAACATAACAATCGCAGCTTTTCAATGGGGTCCGTGGCTTCCAAGAGGTGTTTTTTAGCTTGGACAACCATGTCGCGCTCATGTCTTGCTGTGCCCGGCATCTGAAAGACCAAAACAGTCTTGTGACATGGATTCACATTCAGGCAAAGCGCTGAAAACTGCCTTAGAATATGGAGCATCCCTAATCCCTCACCTGCAAGGTCTGGTGGCAACTCTTTCATGACAACTCATTTTTCCATGACAATTTCCTTCTATGAGAAAGGAAATTGCCAATATAGGTCATGAACCATGAAAGGAAAGCTCAGCCAACCATCCTGTGATTAGATAGGAATGCCTGGGTAAGAATTTTCTGCCTAAAGTGTGAAAATACAGTGAAAACTGATGGATGAAGCCAGGAGAGCGAGGCTGCCTCCACATTCCCTGCATCTCTGCCAAGCCTCTCCCCTACTTGGAGAGGTTTGCAGTTAGCATTTGACCACAGGAATACAAAAATTATCCTGGGTGAGGACCTTTGCCTTAGATTTGCTTTTGTTCCACTAAGGCCCTAATTCTCCAGAGCAGAGCTTTCTCCCACGGCATGTCTCAGCAACAGCAATCACCTGCAGATGACACCTCCTGCTTTTTTAACACAACTGCAGAATAAATTAGTACCTGAAACTTGCACAGCATTTAGAACCTCGGGACTTCAGACTCTGCCAAGTCACATAAGTCTTCCAGCTTCCCTCAGAGGAATAAAGGGGGAAAACCAGTCTGTGAATCTGCAGTGCTGCAATAGCACCACCAAGAGGAGCATGCCCAGGCTGGCAGAGGGTCACCCCTTCTCCCACAGGCAGTATTTTTGCCTAGTGCTAAAAAAAACAGGGCTGTCCATGCCCATAACCAATATTTTAGGACCACACAAAATCCTGGCCCCGGGCACATGCTCAGGGCCAAGACTGCCACCTGTTGAGGCAGTGCTGGGATGAGGAGATGAAGATGGGCAACCCTGTGAGGCATTAGTGCACGTCACACTTCCAATCCCATTGTCATTGCATGTACAGAAGTGTGAATTGAAATAGTCAGAGAAAACTTATGAGAAACATGGAATCAAACTGTTTCATCTTAACTACTCTGCTCCTGTCTGCAGAGCATCGGCTATGGCTGCTGGTCATGTCACATATGCTGAATTTTATAACCCCTTCAGATGACTCCAGTTGAGCTTGGAAAAAACAGAAAAATAAAATGGTTTTGTACACCCCAGTTGGTTTCAGTAATAGATTATTGTAGAAGTCTAGAGAGGTAGAATAGAGACCATTTTGGCCTTTGCTTTAGACAGAACAAGCAAAGTTCTTCTGGGAACTCATTAACCAGTGACCAGAAAGACCTTACAGCTGCGTGAGATCAGCAGCCAAAAATGTTTTCTGTAAACAATGACCTGTCCTTAAGGGGAAATTTTTAGCTGGAAAGAATATAAAATACAGTGAGGTTACATAAACACAGTGCAAACTATATTTCTATTATATAATTATCCACTATAGCTTATATATAATATATAACAACTATACTTCAATACACAGAGTGCATAATGCATGCATAGCACTGTGCAGTATGCCTCCACACTATGTTATGTATTTAAATGTATTTATATGAGGACATAATTTGTCTCCACTGCACACTGCAAAAATCTACACAAACACACACCATGAAAAAAGTGTAACATTTCGTTGCCTCGGGTTCAGTGTAACCATTTCCAGCATACTGCAAACAATCATTGCAGCAAGATTCATGAATTGAGACTAGGGAGGGATAGTCTGACTTGATATCTATTATGATCTCCTGTGCCACAATAAAAGGCACTGAAACTGGCCAATCCTCTGTTATCTCTGCATTAAGTAAAAAGTTTGCTTCTATGTCTACAAGCATTTCTAGCTGAGAACTCATCATCTCCAGGCTAAGTTGCTCTAGTATTGAACCATTTTCCTTTTAAAATGTGTTCTTCGTTTCTAGTGAATTTCTCCCATCATTAGCTGCTGCTTTACTTTTTTTTACAGGGCTAAAGAGTTACCTATTAAAATTTGTCCAGATGCAAGGTCCCTTTTAAATCCACTTTGGCTAAATAATTAGGCAGAGCTGAGGTTTCCTGATACAAAACAAATTTCCATATGTCAGATAATTCTGCAGTTATGCTTGAACTTTTCAAATTTTTTTTCCAGTGCTCCTTCTGAAGTGGGTCATAGCACTCCAATAATATCACTAATGCCATAGGTAGAGGTATTCCCACTTCCCCCCCTGCCCCATGTATCATGGGTAGAAACACTAATAATAAATATTTCTCTGCTCTTTGCAAATCTGCATTCTCTATAATGTTCAGTAACAAAATCACCACCAACAAAGAAACACTATATTAACCATATACAAACTATACCAACGTATGCTATATAAAACTCAGCAATTAAAGTCTGTTTGCAAAGTAATCACACTTACACTTTACCTTAAAGCACCTTAAACATGATCTGGCTTTCTGTGTCACACAGCAGTATCTGTTTAAGAAGCCTTTCTACACATCTACATACAGAAAACCAGTTAAATACAAACCCTGCAGCACCCAAGCCTGGTCCATAGAAACACTTTTGCCACTTTCCTATTTCTGTTGGCTGCTGGTTTAAGCTAGAGATAAACCCTTTTTAGGCCGTATTGAAAAAAAACAGATTCCAGATCAGTGCAAGGAGGGAGGAATCACATGCTCTTTCCTCTCATTTTGCTTTTGCCCCTTTTTGGATAATGTGAAGTAATTAAAGATGCAATCAGGTTTTGCTGAATATAACAATTCTCTGTACACCGTACAAATGTGTTACATACTAAACCCATTAATAAAATAAGAATAGCTCATAACCATAATTGTGCATGGTTTTAACTCATATCTTACCCAAGATTATCAGACGTCTCCCTCAGTAAAATTAACCAGGAGTGTTTATTTTAATATTGAATGCTAGAGAGTTTTGTTTTGCTTAACAGCCTGGGCTATGAGCAATTACAATAGCACACATTGTCAGCATTGCTTGTTTCTATTGGCGATGTTGTGTTGTGCAGGCTAAACAGAAATTATTGCATGTATTCCGAAGAAATGCAAAACCTTAAATTTTGGGCTGAGCTTTTCCAGTAAAATCTTAGACCATTCAGCAACCAGGTCCTTTTACATTCCTCTGTGCCAGAAGATTAAGCCTGGAAAGAGTCAGATTCAGTCTAAGCTCTGCATCATTTGTTTAAATGTTATCCCTCAGCTGAGCCCAAAAGCCTCCTATGAAATCCTGGAAAACACTGCAGCATGACAGGCAGAGTCCGCATACTTGCCTCTGGATTACCTGAGGCTCCAGAAAGCCCCTGTCCTGGCCAAAGACACGGGTAGCACACCACCCACCCCAATGTACAAGCTCTTATGATCTGAGAACAGATTAAGTGGCATAAACCAATTGCACATATTTGGTTTACTCTTTATAATTCCATTAAATTATTAAGAGCACGAAAACTACAGGAGTATTTGGCAACCACCTAAACACCTATTCAAAAATCTGGCTTACCACCCCCACTTGAGCCACCCTGTAGCAGCTTCCCGTCTCTCACTTCATCATCCCCAACCTTCTGGCAGGTGAACATTAATTACTGCTCTTGCTATTTTGCAAATAGATAGATAGATAGCTAGCATATATATATGAATATACAATGATATATATTAAAATATATAATTTTAATAAAATACACAAAATTAAGATATAATCTACTATAAAAATTATATATAATAATACATAATTTTAATAATATAATTATATATATTTTAGAAACCTGCTTTTGGCTGATCGGAGAAACTTATTGCAAGGTAACAAACAGGAGGAAAAAAAAATCCTGTACCTGCAATGTTATCCTGAGCGCGAGGTTTTCACCCACGGGATGGTGTTGTGCCCCACCTGCTTCTCTGCGGCCGGGCGCAGGCAACAAGTTGAGAGGGTAACAAGCCACCTCCCTGCAAAGCCTACTTATAGATCTCGTTCTACTTGTTTACACACCCGGCTGCCTTGCCCCCCGCCTTTTTGGGAGGCCTGGAGTTTACCGGCTGATCTCCAAGGTGACACTGGAGGCTGCGGTGGCCCAGTCTGCAATCACACTGTTTCCCTGTACGATTGCTGTGGGCCTTCGAGACTCGTTTTGTTTTATCTCTTTTAAAAATAACGCCCCACTTCTCATCTCCCCCACGTAGGGGCAGACAGGGATGTGGGGTGCTGCCCCCCCACTGAGATAGAAGACCAGGTATGATTGTGGAAAGGCTTTGCGTTTCCATGCTGGCCTTGGTTATGTTTTGAGAACGTTTCCCTACTTTCATAGTTGACGGGGTTGAAAAAACTCGCTGGTTCAATCTTGCACTCAAAATCTAATAGCAGAATTTAAGTAAAAGACTTTCTGCTGTATTTCACAAAAAACAACTCACCAGCATGTATATTTTTCCTGCTGATTAATTGCCACTCTGTAGACCCACTGGTGGTTAGAACCTCTGGGGAGACACTGGGCTTGTGTTCATTTGCAGCAAGAAGAAAACTGAAAAGGTTAAACACTCATATGATGAGGAAAAATTTTTCTCTGCCTAGACACAGCTATTAGCAACTCTGTCTGCAGAAGGTCACAAACATTTTTAGTTAGATAATGTAACACTTGGTAAGGAATCAGGGTGTTGATAGACTCCTTAGGTGTAAGAAATAGCCTGTGTCATGTTCTCTGGCCCTGTCGGGCAGCAGCAAGGTAAACACAGAGGACTAAAGCTGATGGCAATAGCAGCACCTACAAGTTAGTGTAAGAGCAGATGGAAAATGTGCTGGAGGGTAGGAGGGCTCTGCAGAGGGACCTGGACAGTTTGGATAGATGGGCTGAATCCAATGGTATGATGTTTAACAAGGCCAAGTGCTGGGTCCTGCACTTGGCCACAACAACCCCCTGCAGACCCATGGGCTGGAGAGCAGCCAGGCAGAAAGGGACCTGGGAGTTTGGATTGACAGGAAGCTGAACATGAGCCAGCTGTGTGCCCAGGTGGCCAAAAAGGCCAATGGCATCCTGGCCTGGATCAGGAACAGTGTGGCCAGCAGGACCAGGGAAGTGATTCTTTCCCTGTACTCAGCGCTGGTGAGGCCACACCTCGAGTGCTGTGTCCAGTTCTGGGCTCCTTAGTTCAGGAAGGATATTGAGGGGCTGGAGCAGGTCCAGAGAAGAGCAATGAGGCTGGTGAAGGGACTCGAGCACAAGTCCTATAAGGAGAGGCTGAGGGAGCTGGGGCTGTTCAGCCTGGAGAAGAGGAGGCTTAGGGGAGACCTCATCACTCTCGACAACCACCTGAAAGGAGGTTGTAGCCAGGTGGGGGTTTGTCTCTTCTCCCAGGCAACCAGCAGTAGCACAAGAGGACACAGCCTTAAGCTGTGCCAGGGGAGGTTAAGTTAGACATTAGAAATTCTTTACAGAGAGAGTGATCAGACATTGGAATGGGCTGCCCAGGGAGGTGGTGGATTCACCACCCCTGGAGTATTTAAGAAGAGATTGGATGTGCAATTGATGCCATGGTCTAGTTGACAAAATGGTATTGAGTCAAAAGTTGGACTTGATGATTTCAGAGGTCTTTTCCAACCTAGTTGATTCTGTGATTCTGTAAAATGGAGGCAAAGCCCAGTTCTGGCC